TGCATATCTTCTTTTGAAAGAAAAAAAGTAGTCTAGACGTGCCCATATAATTCAATTTGTGTGTTTATTTTATTTTTCTTAGATATTTGTATATGTTTATTTTACTTTTGATCTGTTAGTTTATGCCAATTCTGTAAGCAATTTACTTTTTCAAGTTTGCCAAAAGTATTTTTTCTATTCTGTGATGAGAATACTTACTCTTAGGCATGTTATTTAAGACATGCTCTGGTGCAGTATGAACAGCGTCAGTTTGAACTCTTGCCTATGGGGCTAAACATTGTGTGAAGGCTGAGTTTTAGGGCTCATTCTTCAGTGATGATCCTGCAAAAGCTAAGAAAGGATTAAATGGGCTCCACAGGGAATCCCAGTCATTGTAGCTACAGTGCTCCATTATCTGTAGGAATATAATGTGTTTTCCTCAACTGTCACTCTCAGAAATGGCTATACCATTTTTGCAGATGTTTCAGTCTGAGGAAGCTTCCTAACTTGGAAAACAATAGCTCAAATGATTACAGTTTGGCAAAGTTGTAAGTATCTGAAACAAACACTGGGCCTTATAACAGGAAATACCAGATGTCCGTCACTTTATATAGTGCCAATTGCTTTTCCTATAATATGGTGTAATAACAGCTCACCTGAATTCTCCCAGGGCATCCGTAACACGGCTGATATAAACCTGTACTCTTAGGCTGGATTCTGCTATTTTTCTACAGAAGATCATGGCCTTGAAAGAAAAACAACAAAAAGTGACATCTTGAAAAATGGAAGAAAGTTGATATTTTTATAGCTCTATCAATATGTCTGAATTGAACAACAGCCACTGTGGCTTGAGCCCTGATGCTCTGCAGCCACTTAGGATAGCAAAAGCTGCCCACATCCCCATGTGTGACTGTACAGGACCAATCTAGAATGTGAGATCAGGTGCATGCAGAGAGGGAAGCAAGGGCTATATGCTAAACACTCTCTTCCTTCCCTCAACTCTTTCAAAGCAAATATGCACTTTCTCCCACAATACATGAACTAATTGAAAAACCATCTAAAATGGGAGGACACCCCTCCCCCCATATATCATGGAAGAAGGAGACCACACATATACATATATATCCTCCTTCCAGTGCAAGTAGACAGCTCAGGGCTGGGGAGGGGGGGGGGGAATTCTGGACCTAGAGCACACCTTTTTCCAATGCAGTTAGTAGTGCAGAGAAGCTACGTGCTAGGCCACAGTCAGGGCTGAGTCTGCAGCTTGGCTTCACCCCCTGATTATTTATACCTTTCTAGGCTCTAGAGTATTCCATCCCTGCTTAGCACTTATTGTTCATAGTCCACTGAATAGCATTCTGCACCTTTTCAATTGCACTCTTTAGCTTGTTCATATGAGATTCAAACAGAGGAAAATGAGAGAAAAAGAAGTCCTGGAAGTTTCTCTGCGAGTCTTCCCTTTCTGGCAGGGAGAAAATTATGCTGATGGCAATTTTTTTCCTCCGAATCATTGCAGGATTCGAACTACAGCTTTCATCAGCCATGCTAAAAGTCTCTTCAGTGGACCTGCAATGAGAGAAGTATCTGCTAGTTACCCTGTGTGTTTTCCATATTTGTACACAATGCATAGTTGAGAGTGTCAGCAAGAGATTCTAACTATAACTCCACAGCTACTTCAATGTCTTGGAAAAAATTTTGCCCCCACTTACAAAATGTTACTTGCTCACAGAGAGCAGAAAAACTAGAGAAGCCTTTGCTAGAAGCAAGATCCCCTCTCATGAAAGATTTTCTCTAGGAATAGCACCCATAAACAGAAGCTTTATAAACACTTCTGTGTGGGTATTTCTGACGGACATCATCATCATATCCAAATGCTTTGTAAGAATTAATCAATTTATCATAATATCCTGCTGCAAAATCATTCCTCAATGCCTTACCATGTCACTGCTACACCATTTTATGTCTGACAGCAAAGATAGAGGCGTGTATTCTTCAATAGATTCAACCATACTATTAAGGTTTCAGATTGCCTACCCCAGAAGAGGACAGCTGTCGTCCTTCTTAACGTGGGTGCTATCTAACTTGAAGTAAACACGCCTGTGACAGCATAGCCAGCAGGTGGACAAAGGAATGGCTAAACTAACACAAGTAAACAGGCTCCTTGAGCCATATTAGGTGGAGGGGAATTCAATCAACAAGAGGCTATTATAAATCTTAGGGGCCAGAAAAAGGACTGCCCTCTCAGTCAACCATCCAATGGAACAGAAAGCAGAATTCACAAAATGTATTTGTTATTTGTAAAAAGATAAAGTATCTGCTCCAACAGGCTTATTAATTAAGAAATAAAATGATTTATTGATGACAAATTGCCATTACTTTGACACTTGACTGGAGTCCAGTATCTTGATATAAAATGCCAGTGGAGATAACAGTCTTTTTTAAACTTGATGTGGCTAGTTACTAACCCATAAGTGCGCGGGGGGATGTTCTCTTGACCTCATCTAGCTATATCAAGCTAAACACTGCCAGTGCCTTGTCTCCACTCAGATGTGACAATCAGGATAACTCTCTCAAATTAAAAAAGAAAAAAAACCACAACAAAATCCACTTTTTTTTTTGCAGTCACAACATAGCTGCTCTATAGAAGGTTATAAACTAGGTTAGCATTACCAAGACTCTCCATACCAGATCTTCAAGAAGAGACGGTCTAGGTTACAATGTCTCCTTTTTCAATGTACTGTAAAGCAGTTTTCAGGACAAAGTTTTTGAGATAGCTATTTGAACTGAGATCTGTGCATTTTTGGAAATGCATTCTAAATGGAAACTATTTTCTTGTTCATCTAGGATATATTAAATACATAAAATTCATCACCACAGTGGTACATTTTCAGACACCAAAGAGAAAACTAGGCTTGTGAGAAATAAGAGCCCCAAAGGATAACAACCTCATTTGAACTCCTTAGTGACTTTCGTGCAAAGACAAATTCCCATAGACTTTGTAAAAAGGTCAGTAAATCAGCATATACAAAACACTGCAGACGGAGACATTTCCCAGAGTTTGAGATTGGGAAATGGAAGTCTGACTCGGAGAACCCTTTTCAATAAAGCTGTTAATTGCCCTTGACTGAGAAGTCACTACATGAAGTTGCAAATGGAAGTTTTGTTTTCTTTGGACAGTTGGCCTAAAGATCAGTCAACTTAATGGACTTAAATTGCAGCGAGGGAGGTTTAGGTTGGACATTAGGAAAAACTTCCTAACGTCAGGGTGGTCAAACACTGGAATAAATTGCCTAGGGAGGCTATGGAATTCTCCATCACTGAAGGTATTTAAGAGCAGGTTGGGATGATCTATTCTAGACAATGCTTGGTCCTGCCATGAGGACAGGGGACTGGACTCGATGACCTCTCGAGGTCCCTTCCAATTCTAGTATTCTATGATTCTATGAACGGCTGTGCAGCTTTGGCTGTATGAATTAAAGCACAGATTCAATGCCTATTGAAATCAATAGCAAAAATTCTATTGTTTCATGATACTTCATTGGCTCACAAATGAATGTTTGAATATAGCAACACCTGTAATGCCTGACAACTGTTTAACTACTGGATCTAAAATACATTTATGCAATTTCTCTCTCTACTGTGGCTGTGATGAAAGTACAAAAGTTATTTGCCTTAGAAGAAAGATTTGAGGCTGTATACTGCAAATATTATGCCAGGAACTGAGAAAGTTATGTCCAGCAGAAAGTTATGTCCAGCAGAAAGTTACCGCTTTCAGTTACCAAAAACACTGTAATCTATTTGAGAAAAATTTTTAAAGGGGCCTTTAAAAAAATCAAAGTCAAAAGGGGTTGTTTTTCTTTTTTAATACTAATGTACCGGATCACTATAAGTTTATCTAAATTAAACACAACTTAATTAGCTGAGCTTAGCTTTTAGACAAAATACAATTTCATTCATTTTTTAAACTTGATCAGTTTTTCATATGGTAGGTTTCAGTTGAATTTCTTTGACCCACAAACTAAAAGAAAGCCACTGTAGCACAGAATCCAAAATAGCTGTCTTTAGCAATGATTAACAGAACACACAGATACAGTGCATGGGAAATGGTTCTTCCACGGTGTTTGTAGGGCACTTCGCCTGTTTATTAAGGCACCCTGTGACTTACTGGCTTAGCATTCTTTCTAAAGATAAAATCCATAGAGGGGGCTTTTCAGGTGTGAAATCTGTACATGGAATCTCTGTGAACTGTTATATCATTGGCAAGAAATAGGCTTTACAGCTCCTTGCTAAAGTCTATGAGGGCATTTTTAGAAGCCTGGAGAATCACCAGGATCCACAATAGCACAGGGATATCAGCCCCTACCATCCGCAGCTCCTTAGCAGTGGCTGACCCCAGCTTCACTGAAAACATATTACAGCTTTAGGCTGGATGCCCTTTTCCAGGTAACTTTCACCAGACTGGTGGGTAAGGGGAGAGAATGAAGGCCAGTTCCCAAACCTATACCAACTCTGTACTGTTCCTAATCTGCAGAGAGAGGGATTCTCTGGATTCATGTCTGTGTGCATCCGCACGCGCGCATGCCCATATTTGAATGTGAGTGGGGGAGGGGGAAAGGGGTAGCTCGTAAGTATTCTTTACTTTGCTATGAGAAAGCAAGACTACCTATAACCATGGTCACCAACAGGTCGATTGCAATCGACCAGTCGATCGCAAGGCCTTGACCAGTCAATCACGAGGCGACGGCCCCGCCCCATTTTCCACCCACCCCCAAGAAACCCTAGTACTTACCTCCAGCGAAAATGGAGGTAGTGCGGGCTTCCTGTGGGTGGATGGAAGTCCCGCAGCTTAGCGCCACTTCTGGGAGTTCCAGAAGTGCGCTGGCTGCTTTGCCAGGCGCGCTGCGGGAAGGGGCCCTGGCTCTGGAAGAGGAGCATGGTGATTTCCCTGCACTGGCACAGGAGGCATGAGCTGTCCCCGGGGCAGGCACTCGCGGGGTTTCCCTGCACCCCAGAGTGTGTTTCAGCCCCAGGGTAGGCACGCGCAAGGGAGGAGGAAAGGGGTGTGTTTCGGCCCCAGGGCAGGCACGCACAGGGGTTTGGCTGCACCACAGGAGGGGGAGTTGGCCCCGGAGGAGGCACACACCGGCTTCCCTCTGGGGAGGAAATCCTGGGAGGAGGTGGGTGCAGGGGACTTTCTGCCCCCACTGGCTCCCTGTTCCCCTGTACATGCCAAGAGATTTGTTTCAGTCTATTGCATCAAAGTTTTGTCAAGTAGTCACTAATCACAGTTTGTTATAGTAGAACAGAATCGTGTCGCTGATGTTATTACATTCTCCCTCACTTCAATAGGCAGCTCTGTTCTTCCAGTAACAGCTGATAGTTTAACTTTCTTGTCTGAACAGGTTCTTCAGAGATAAAAGGATTACATGCCAAGAGATTTGTTTCAGTCTATTGCATCAAAGTTTTGTCAAGTAGTCACTAATCACAGTTTGTTATAGTAGAACAGAATCGTGTCGCTGATGTTATTACATTCTCCCTCACTTCAATAGGCAGCTCTGTTCTTCCAGTAACAGCTGATAGTTTAACTTTCTTGTCTGAACAGGTTCTTCAGAGATAAAAGGATAATCTTTAATTTGAAATGTGTTCATTTCAGCCTCATTTTATAGTCATTCATTGTAATAATCTTAAGCAACACTGAATGTAAGAGATCAGACTGTTCTCGGATTTTATTTTAATTGACTTCCCCCTTTAAGTACAGAGGCCTGACCAATATTATCAGCAAATGCAGCCCAATTGCTATTGTAACTCCAACAGGTAAAAGCTCACAACACTCACCACCTTGGAATAATCCCATTTTCTAAACTTGTTGTTTGACTTCGCAGCCAGCGGCGCTGGTAGCTACTGGAAGAAGAGGATGAGGAACTTGGTGATGGGAATGGTGTAATCAAGAGACTGCTTAGAGATGCTGTCAAAAGAGCAAACATATTGACATTTTGCTGAGTGCTGATTAAACAGTACATTCCCCTCTGGCTAGGTTAACATGAGTATCATTCTTGCCAATTGATTTTCTAATTTCTTTTTAAAAACAGTAGCTTTTCTTTCAATCTAACTATTCTTGCTACCTTAAGAAAAAAAAGTCTTCTACTGTGTAAACAAGACCAGACTGTTACATGGAGTGGGTGGTGATGCTATGCTGATGGTGTGTCTCTCCTCTGAGCTGGCTTAGACACCTCTGTAACCATCTGCTTAACGAGACAGTGCCAGTCCTGACAGACCAATTCACATCTATGTATGTACAGCTTTTCTTCCTACTGAGCAAAAATACTCACCCTTCTTTTCTTTGAGGGAAACACTCCTACCAATTTCTTCCTTAACTTATACATTTATATTACTGAAATACTGCATAAGATGAGAACCACATGAGTTAACGTTGCAAAGGCAGAGTATCACAAAATATCCCTCCATTCTTGCTGCTTTGTAGGAGAGAAGGGCAGGGGAATGTTCTTGCAGTGGAACTGATGAGCAGAAACCTAGCTTACTGGCAAGGGAACTAACTGCTCAACAGATCTACAAGTTTGGGTAGATTTGCTGTAACCGGGATTATCCAAATTCTACTCCACTAGTTGGTCAAAACTTGAATTTGCTCAATCACTGTGCTAAAGGCTTTGCTTTCCATCAAATGGGAAAAAAAGAAACAGATACCTGACCGAGCAATGCCGCTGTCTCTGTCCTCATTTTGCCCTCTGCTAGGCATATCAACGGGTGTGCTGTGTGCTAAAGTAAACAGATTAGACCAACAAAAACATCAGATGCCTCATACTGATGGTTAAACAAAGTTTATGTTTAAAGGCCACACAACAGCAAATTGACATCCAGTGGAGTTAATTTAAGCAATAGCTATACCCATAGTGTGTGGACAGAAAGAAAAAAAAATAGCATTCGAAGAGATGATGACAAACAATATTTTAATAGTGAACACTAGTGGAGTGATCACCTGTTTTTATTTTAGGCTAAAATACCTTTTAAGTACCTACAGGAAGCTGAACGTTATTTTATACACACTGAAAAGTCATACAGCTGAGAATTAGGCTCTTGAAAGAGTCTCAGGTGGAATTACCAAAAACGGAAGCACCTGAAATCGCTAGTGATGCTTAAAAATCCAGATTTAGTTTATTTTTGTAGTGTCACAGGCATTGAACAGGCTAACAATACTTTATATGGGTAGCCGAGAATCAGGTTGTTTTTTTTTTTTTTTTTAAAGTAACCACGGTGCTTGCAAGTTTCCAACTTAACATCATTAAGTGAACACTCAGTGCACTGTAGATCAGCAGTCAGTGGTGTTAGTACATGCTCG